CACCAAGATATCGGAAAGAATGAGAGAAAACTGCACCAAAACGCGAAATATATTGAGCCTTATTATTTATTGTACTACATTGCCGTCATTAGCATTACTATTCGTAGTTCCCTGATTTCTGTCAGTGTAAATATGATATACTGCGTTCTCGTGTATATCGTGCTAAGGGGCGGATCCAGAACTCCGTTTCGGGGGGGGGGGGGGGGGGGGGGGGCGGCGGAAAATTTGTTAGGATACTATTCTCCCACTCTTTCGTGTGCACCGGGGGGTCCACCCATGTCAAATTGCCCGCCGAAAAGGAGGGAGGGGGGGGGGGGGGGGGTCGACTTTGTTTGGGGGGGCGGTCGCCCCCGTCGCCCCCCCCCCCCCCCCTTGAATCCGCCCCTGATCGTGCTTATATAGTGTCCTGTTAGTCCTGTGTCAAAACTCAGGCATATTGCCATCATCAGATTTACCATTCTGCTGAGTCTTCCCTATCCTGTGTGAATATGCGAAGTCTCTATATGCGCTTTGGTGTAGGCTTGGTTACAATCCTGGAGACAGCGACCGGTCCCCGATCCGGCCCCTTAGCCAAAACGTTCGGATACCCCTCTTAGACAAACAGCAATGGATGATAGAGTCAACTGCATGAAGAGGAAGATAGGGAAGAGGGGGGGGGGGGGGGGGGGGGGGGGGGCTGAGGCGAAGGGCATTTTTTTTCTCGAGGTCATAAAAAAGTTTAAAAAAAAGTAAAAAAACAGCCCCGTATGATGAGAGAGAGCATGTTTGTTTGATGGCATTAGTGTACGCTGTGCGTCTGACTGTAGCAGATGAATTGGGGTTCTTACGCGTTAATTGGTGTAACACACACAACCCGCACAGGTTCTATATCTTAGAAACTAAGAACTAAGCCTAGGATCTCACACTCAAGAAAAAAAAAATACCTTGCAGGTTCGCCTGTTGATCTCAGAATTAAAAATCTGTTTTTCTTCCGACTGACTATGATTGGTTTAGTTTTAGTTTTACTCACGCCGATTCGTCACTCGACAGTTTCCCGCAAGAACTGGCCGCCACATAGTCAACCGATTTGGATTCTTCTCTGTTTTCATGCATTCACCATAGTTTGCATTCACGTTGGTACTATTGCCGTTGTTCTATTGCACACCTCTCTTATTGTATCACTGTCTCGAGGTATTTGTATTGCTAAATAAATTTAAAAGATGAGCCCATGTTTCCAGTCCCTTGAAGGGTAGATAATTTGAATGCGCATTTTTTCTAGTTAATAAAAGAGCAACTATTTGTGTTGTTGCATAGTCGAGGCCCTTCTTAAGAAGAAAAAAGGATCAGCGCAGGATACGTTCACCGGGTACGTGAAAAGTAAATTTATATGTGGTTCATATAGTGGCAGCACCCACGCCGATAGTGCGGGACAAGTTTAGTGAGTGTAGTGTTCTAGGAAATTAATTCCAGAGAACTATATATATATATATATATATATATATATATATATATATATATATATATATATAATGTAGGTTCAAAGTACTCGTAAAAAAACTGTCCAACAATAATCCTACTGCCATCTGAGAAACTGTTTGAACAATTTTAGAAGTAATTTATGCCAAAGTAATTCTTAAAGTTTAAATACTATACCAGCGTTACCCCACTCTCCCTTATATATAGGGTTCCATGTTTTCAGACAAATCCAAAAAATCCGAAAAAACTCTCAGCGGCAACTTTTTCGACAATTCGGATTTATTCGTAAAACTCAGAAATTTGAGGTCACAACAACAAAATAAAAAGCAATAAAGAAGATTTTTTGAGAATAATTTTTATAAGAGTAAAGAGCCGGCGGTCCTGAGGAGATGCCACTTCAGTTTTCTTTGAAATGTCGAACTGCTGACAAAAAGGGGTTGCCTTTTAGCTCATCAAGGTTCCTGATCAGGACAACAAGTTACGGTACCTGGACCGTAATCTTTTTATGTTTTTGAATTTTTGAAAATTAGGCAAACAGTAAAATAAACTCCGCATTTCAGAGAATTGGGAATATAACAAAAATAAATTCTGATAAACCCTGAATTGTCAGCGAAAATAAACTCCGTAAAACATCCTCCAAATTTCACGAGAAATGAACTCCGAAACCACGGAAGGCCTGCCTATATAATATGCATATAGTACAATCAAAACAATATTGCTCTAGAAAGTTCGGAAACGTTTTGGAACATCGTTGATCCTTCGTCAGTCCAGCTAAACAACTATAGAAAAAAACTGGATCGATATCAAGATCTTTACCTGGACTGGCAATGGACCTACCATGTTTCAAAGTGTTTCCGGACCCTCTGATCGCCACAAAAAAATTTCTAACCTACTAATGGCAATATTCTTAGCAACATTTTACTCGCAAGTACTTTTTTTTTTTTCAATCCAGGTTAGTGCATATGCATACATATAGCATATGGAGTACCGAACCCAGTCAGTGAGGACGCCTTATAAGGGCGTCTTCACTGACTGGGTTTTCAAATTTTCACTGATCCGAATTCAATATCATTACTTTGTCCTCAAGATCTCCAGTCGCTAAATTAAATGAATAAATAAAATGCCCCCTTCACCCCTTATCCCCCTCTCCTTGTTGGAGGGGGGGGGGGGGGGTTGCAGGGCTTCAAGATGGTGATACAAAATGGTAAAACCTCAAATCCAGAACTCATTTTTGTGCATTCACACCACATTATGCTCGTGACTAAAAAAACGTGCTTATCTAATTATAGAGAATAATGACGCTGCACGAATGATTCTTCAGTTGGAGATGGAAGAAGGTTCGCGATCAAAAGACGTTGCTGCTCTTGTCCCTCTATCTATTTTCCCTTAGTGGTGGCTCTCAATCCTTGCAACGGGGAGGCCTGTCCAGAAGACAGAAGGACGACTGGCAGAGAGGCATTACAGCGCCGCTACCTCACGGGCGCGCTTACGGGCACACGAATAAAAATGTGAACAACTCTCTGCTCTCAAATTCGATCATCAAATTTCGTCGAACCATTGTTCACCCAAAAAATAGAGAGACATAGGCCGCACTTTTGCAGCCACAAGATCTCACCTTCATACTTTTTTTTTAGGTAACTGTTTAAACAACATTGAGTTTCTGCCACCAACGCAGACACGGTGTGCGTTAGTAGTTGCCAGTGCCACGAAATCGCCAAGGACGGACGAACCTCTAAATAAACCTGCAAGTTTTTTTTCGTTTTTTTTTTTTTTTTTTTATGTGCGCGGTTTTTTTGTGTTTTTTTTTTTTTTTTTATGTGCTTTACTTGTGGACGCGTTCTGGCAGGAGGGAAGATGCCTTATTTTTTATCTTAGCTTTTTTGAGGGGTGAAGAACGGAGTGGGGATGGTCATTACGAAAAGGCGCGGAGGTAGGCAAGCTGCAGGCTTGTTGCAAGAGGCCATCGTTATTTCACCCGGCGAAGAAGCACCCAAAGCCACGCCAGGAGGGGTCGAGGACAGAGGAATCCGGTTTCTGGGGTGTCTACCCAAAGCTGTTTCCCCAGTCGGGACGATCCCTATCTTGACGGTGGTTTTTCCAGGCGCCCTGGCTACAGACGCTTTATAATCCCCCGTCTGCCTTGCTTTTCTCTTTTTGCCTGTTTTCATTTTCTACGCGTTAGTCTCTCAACAAAACAAGTAAGGAAATGGCAAATCTCTCAAACTCGTCATACATACCACACGTGTTTGAGTCGATAAATCTCGCTGCAATCGTTTACACACCTCAGGGGCGGATTTAGAGTGGGGGTCCGGATGTCCTGACCCCCCTCTTGATTTCTGCATGTGTAAAATTTAGGGCGTGAAACGAGGGAGAGGGGAGGAGGTTCCTAAACATATGGTACGCTGACCAACACCTGACCCTCCCCTCACGAAATTCCTGCATCCGCCCCTGCACCTATATTCATTCAGCGACTTCCGACGCCAGCCAATGAGGGTGAGGTGCCAGTCTTGTTGCTGCGTTGACTTGCACTATATATATATGCACATGAATGAACCGTACTTGATTATATTCATATATATATTCGCCCCTTTTTTGTTTGGCAACAAACTCAGTGGCGCCATCCACTGGGTAGCCCCGGCACACTTTCGGCAATTTTTTACTCATCATTCTTGTATCATAAGAGTGAATAAAGTCTGGCAGTGCTATAAGTGGCCACTTCCAGAAGATATACATTTGATTTCGCGGATAGTGGGCAATCCGCCGTCTAGTTCAGAACCGGAAGTGGTTGGGGGCTATTTGCACGCTGCAGCCATCGAATTTCAACTGAAGCGAGAAAGAGTAGATTTAGAATTAACGACAGGGGTGTTCGACTCATTTCCGGAAGAAAAAAACCCACACGAGTAGGAAACCTTAGCTCAGACCTTATTTCTGACTGCCGCTCTTCACGCTACGTGGTACGGGAAGATGAGCTGTCAGGGACAGAGAAAACACGACAATCCGGATTGATGGGACAGCTTCCGAAGCTCGGGGTAAACAGCCCCCCGTAAAAGTCTTCCCCCCCCCCCCCCCTCCCCCTTCCCCCCCGCCCCTTCCCACCACCAGCAACTGTGTAACTACGCAATTTTTTTCTTTTCTTTTTTTTGTTTGCGGGACGCTGGAGTTGAAGGGGAAGGGGGCGGGGGTCGCTTCCGAGGTTTTTCCTCGGAAGTCAGTTTGCTGGAGGAGACTTATTTGGGGGGGGGGGGGGGGGGGGGGACACACGCCGCCAGCGCGTGCCGATTCCCAAAAAGCGGACGGCCAGGGAACGTCGCGTCCGATAACTGCCGACCTTGGATAGGACCCAGACAAAGCGAAACACTGGAAACACAAGGCGTAGGAGGAAGCGGGGACCTGTCTAAACAGCGGGGCTGTGGCCAGAAGAGCGTGAAGCATGAGACCCCCCCTCAGGCTGCAGATTGCCGGCCGGCCTTGCCCGCGACAAGTAAATAGACAGAGTGCTTCATGCCGGGAGATTTCTCCGACAGCGCTTGTCTTCGGGGCACAGGGTGGTGAGGGGCTCCTCGCCGGTGTCAAAAAAACCCCGAATTTCCCCCTTGCCATCGGAGCGAATGTATAAAAGGACTCGTGGTTCGGTCCCCCCCTCATCACTGCTTCAGCCGAGACGCCCAGTTCAACTAAACAGTCATGAAGGCAGCCGTGAGTAGTAATTCCTTCGCGCTCTTTTGGAACTTCGTGCCGAAATATCCTCTATGTAACCCCCGACAGGAGGTCATTCTGACTCATAACGGGCTAGGGCCGTATATCATTGAAACCTGCTATTGGTGTACTAAGCACTGAGTGTCCCCAACACCACTTAGAGAGAAAGCCATCCTTTTGAATTTCACATGTCAGCTACTGAGGGCGAGGCCGGGCCACATACTGGACAAGGTGTCAGCGTTCAACTGGAATCAATCAATCAGAACACCGGATTCTCAGCCGAACGCTCACATTCGTGTCCAATATGTGACCCTCGCTGGCCCAAATAGGTAACGCAGAAAATTCAGCGCTGGCGGCTTTACAGTGGTCCGCCGAAATCTGCAGAGAGAGAAAACAGCAAAGAAAGTGTAATGCCTAAGCGAACTTTTTATCCTCCTGCTGCCTAAGTTGGTGTCCCATATTAGCGCACTCCAATTTGCTGAGAGTTTCGATGACGGACCTTATGAAAAAAAAAAAAACTGACGATCGCGCGATCCTGCTATGTGCGTCGTATTCTGCCTTGAACCCTGGAGGAACTTTTTCTTACCGACGCGACGCGATTGAACAATTTCTTTCGGGTTCGAAGCGTGCTTTGATTTGTCGCGCGTGAGCTTCCGAGTTGCACGCCGGAAACTGACGCGCTGCGACGAATGTTGGCTGGACCGCAGATAGTTGGATCAAGCCCGGCCGCGCGATGATCGTGTTCACCTGTCGCCAATGTTCAAAACATTGTTTAAAGCTTTTGAATTCATTTTTTTGTATGTGTGTGTCTGTGTGTGTGTCGAAAAAAAAAAGGGGGGGGGGGGGGGGGGGGCCTATGCGTTTCGACGTAGAGATGGTGTGCAGTTCGCCCTGCTTTTGTAAAATACAAAGGTTTTTTTGTTTTGTTTTTTGCGCTAAGGGGGGGGGGGGGGGGGGTGAGTGTGTGTGTGGTGTGCCCGCGCCTGTGTGTGCCTTTTAACACGTAATACGCTCTAGGGCTGGATTCCATAAGACGAGCGTCACCAAAAACTGCCACACGGACGTTAGATTTAGCCGAATTGAGATATGAATTAACGTTAATTAATTATAATAATTAATAGTGCACATACAGTGTAGCCCACAATTCGCGATAGGATCAAAATACTTTCTAATACCTTGCTCCATTAACCCCTAACCCTCTTTTTTTTTTTTTTTTTTTTTTTTTTTTTGCACGCGCGGCTGGGGTTGCACGTTTTCGCCCTGAGAAAAAAGGAAGTTTTGCGCACTGTTCATACGCCGCGCGAAGAAGAAGTTCTTACGAGATTTGGTTATCGAAGGAAGAGGCGATGCTTTTGGCGTTTGAAACCTGTTCGTCTTGATAAGTTAATCTAATCTAAAATGCACTTCCATGTATCTTAATTCTCTACATAAAGGGGGAAATTAGTAACGCTCCGCGAGGAGCCGGACGTTTTTTCACTACGGTTCTTTGAGCTGAAAACGGGACATGACGTAACGGCTCTGAAATGTTTTACGCAGTTTCTGCTCGCTCTCGCCCTGCTGCTGGTTGCAACGGCGCAGGCAACGGTTGGCGTGGCCTACGGATACGGCTCACCCTACGGCTACGGCGGCCTTGGCTACGGCGGCCTCGGCTACGGCGGCTACAGACCATACGGCTACAGGCCTTACGGGCTAGGATATGGCTACAGGCCGTATGGCATCGGCTACGGCGGCTACAGACCGTACGGCCTCGGTTACGGCTACGGCGGCTACGTCGGCTAGCTCTGGAGCAGACGGGTCGGCTTATATTACGGTGAGTTGTAGGTAATAATACTAATAACCTGTATTTAGACCACCATGCGCGATCTTCGGTGACGTGCTAAGCTATAGAAGATAGGTGACGGCACGTACGCAGAGCACCAAACACGCGCCAGCCGACCAAAGTTAAAAAAAAGAGAGAGAGAGAGAGAGGAAAAAGCAATTTTTTAAATTCATGATCTCGCGCCCGTGAGTTCTGCACTGAAATTTTTGAGATGAAGCATCAACTGGCGTAAGTGATCGACAGGATTGGCCATTAATTAAGTGTTTCTACAGCATTAACCAGTGTCGGCGCACCTCAAAGGGGGGAGTCCGACCTTACGCCGTCTTAACAGGAACGTCAAATTTCTTTTTGTTTTTCGGTTTAGCACTAATAACATACATTGTAATGACATATTACGCATGTCTTATAGTGCGTTTGTCGCTCTTATGAAAAAAAAGTGGACGAGATGGAGACTATGATGCATACATCGTTCGATTCCTAATAAAGTGGGGCGGGTGATCAAACTACTTTGTCGAATTAACTTAAACAACGCAATTCCTACAAGAGCAAAAGAAGATATTTGTAAAAAGGCATGGAACACCAAATTCCGAAACCTGCCAAAGTACACTTTCCTTCGGAACTAGTGGGCTGTTTTAACTGTCCTGTTGAGTGCTCCACCCCAACTCAGCCTGTGCCGTCCTTTCAGAACTGCTGGAGCCCCCACAAGGACGCCGTTTTCTGAAGGTGGAAATAAAGCTCGAGAAAACGATGCGCGACCTCGTGTCAGCTTTTTTTTCTGCTTCTCCGAGATATGCGGGGACAACGAGGAGGAAGAAAGCGAGGCGTGTAGTGGTTGCGCCGAGGCAGAGCCCATGGCCGTGGCCCCGGTTCGGTCAGGACGGCCGGCCGTCGGGCCCTAGCCAGGTTCGGTCCGGCCACTAAACACCCGGACGCTGCAGCATGCCGTACACCACCGACCTCATACTCTTCTACTACCCGAACACCATCGGCTCCCGAAAGGCAAGATCATTAATCAGCCTTCTTGGGACTATACTCCGTGTTTCGGGTTCGCTATTGTGTTTAATTTGGGTGGTTTGAAATACGCGCTATGAACTTCAGTCCTCGCTCCACAGCAGAGCCAGTGGCCTTGGAAGTATTTGGGAGATGGGGGTTAGCGTAAGTAACATGGTCATAAAATAAAAATTTCAATGAAAAAGAGAAGTACACGGAACCCGTTTGTCCCACAATTTGTGGGCAAACGGGTTCCGTGTACTTCTCTTTTTCATTTTTTTTTTTTTAATTTTATTACCATGTTACTTACGCTAACCCCCATCTCCCAAATACTCCCAAGGCCTCTGGCTCTGCTGTGGAGCGAGGACTGAAGTTCATAGCGCGTATTTCAAACCACCCAAATTGTCTTTCCTCGCAGACAGTTAGTGAGAGATCGCCCCGAGCATGCGCTGTGAACAAGATACTCAACAATGGCGCCCGGTGACCAACTGTGCGATCTGTTCACGAGCAAGCACGACGGATTTATGAGGGTGCAAAGGGCGCTCCAACACAAGTCCGCATGGTTGTGCAAACTGCGACAAAAGCCTCCTTAGACGCGACCATCGATCTTTCACGTCGTTCTATACTCGTCTGAAGGGCTGCCAATGCCTGCCATCGAAAGCTACGGATGCGGAGAAATGCACTGGTACCAATGTAGCTGGTACGATGTTCGATGCTTATCAAGCAGCACAAGTAAAATGTGGTAAAAGTGCCCCACGTCGTCTTCGCACCAACGGGTCTCGTACAATGCGCGGTCAGGCAGTTCGAAACGAACGCGGACGAGCAATTCCAATGGCCATGTACGAAACACTCAAAAATGCAAATTATCACTTTTTTTTTTTTTTTAGTTATACGTGCTGTTCTTGCCCACTGCGGTTGTCGAGATCGCACTATATCACATTCGGCGATACCGAGAAATGCTGAAACTGTCAGTGTGTCCGCCCTCGGTGTACCCGCGAGTACCGCGCAAGGTAATTGAGCCAAAGCGGACGATGGGAATCAAGCTTGATCATAACGGCACAAACACCCACTGCTTGCGGTTGTAACATCATTACTACAGATAAGTAAGTGACTGTGCAATCCCCAGAAAACACGGTCGAAATGCCTCCGAAATTGAGAAGAGCTGTTTCGTTTCTGTTAAAACAACAAGAATCATAAAACTAATAAGGATTATGAAAGAAAACGAATTTACAATTCTATTGTTTTATCATTCAGCATAGAGTGCTATTTGTCGGGGAACTAACGACTTATGATTTTTGAACGAGACATGAACGAAGTGGGCTATCGAAGAAAAAATCGCTTTTTTTTTCTTCCTTCCAAAACTTTTTTTCGATCGGATTACGGGGTGCGGACCGAAAAACAAGCTCGATTTGCGAAGCGCCCTGACGGGTGGTCGTGCCGTGGTCTAGCTCGAGCGCCCTTCCAGCAGCAGGCGCACAAAGGCCGTTTCCGCGCCCCTCAGATGCTGCTCGTGCTGTACACAAGGGGAATCAGCTTCATGCCCCGCGTCATGGACGTCCAGCACGGGGAGCAGATGGAACCCTGGTTCCTGGAGATGAGTCCCCTCGGAGAGCTGCCGCTCCTCAAGCACGGAGACCTGAGCTTCACCGACGTCGACCAGATGATGCTCTACGTCGACCAGATCTGCCCTTTCCCCGGTGAGCACGCGGGCACCCTTCGCGTACACGCGTCTACGTCCTTAGTCCAATCTAACTCGACCGGATCTTTCGCAGGTGAGCCCCAACACCAGCTAAAATAATCAAAGCCCGTGCACTATAGTCAGTTACAGGTTAAGAAGGTAGCGGCAAATGCCCCTCAAAGGGAATCAGATATCCCTCCGCCACCTCCGCATCCAATAGCGTCCCACCGTTTCCGTGACGTCGCGGCCAACGCGCGAGGAGGGTCTTGCCTTTCTGTACATATTTGCTTTATCTTTCGACTTTGACTTAGCATTGTGGAAGCCACGAGAGGGAGATTAGAGTCCTCCCCCACCGACGGAAACAAATACGACTTTCGGGGATTAGCTTCCCCCCGATGGATACAAAGGCTGCTTTCAGGGGCTCGGTTCCCTCTCCGATGAATACAAAGGTCGCTTTCTTAAAAAGTGGGATCGGAGACAAGCGGGAATCCATTGAAGCGGAACAAGGAGCGTTTCCAGTGAACTCTTCTTTCGACCGCGGAGAGATTTGAAACGGGCGCATCACACTTGTGGGAGGAGCTTCTCCTACCTTCTTGACTTGTAACCGACAGCCTTTTCACGTCATCGGAGTGAGATGGAGGGCGGACAGAGAAACGAGTGCTGCGTCAGTGTTCGTCTGAGCCTCGTGTCCAATCAATAGGACACTGGGCGTCCGGCTCGGGCCCAATCCTAGCGCGGTAACGTTCCACGGAGGTAGAGGTTCACAGGCTTTGATTACAGTGCAATCCACTTATAACGATAACGAGAAAATCCTCAAATTTCAATCGTTACAAAACGATTATCGTTGTATCTGGACTATAGAAGCTGATCGCTTCTAGTCTAGAAATTCTAGAAACAAGAAAGACGTGGCCCTACCTGACGGCCCAGGGGGAATTTGAGTAGTAGGTGAGGCATGTTGTGTTTTTCGTGCACGGGACAGCGTGTGCAAGAACAGCATCGTTTCGTCACCAGCGCGGCATGTTCAAACCTACGCTACGCCTGTCGGAAAGATTGTGCCACTCCTGCTCGATCGTGCCCGGCAAAAAGCGAGCGGTGCGTTTTCGACGAGGAGTGGATCTATATCGTGATTGGGATAATGTCGACCTATCGTGGCGATCCCGTGAATGATATTCACGTGGAGACAGGTGCAGATGCGGACGTCAAAAATGCTATTTTAGATTCTAGAACCCAAAGAATAAGGTAAGAAAACCTGTTACGCGTCTGGACTTGTTATGATCACAGGGACACTCCCGGGGACAGATTGCATTTGCTCGAACTGTTGTGTTTGGGCAGACACACAAGCGCCGTTGTGTTCGACTACGTGGGCGAGTAATAAAATCGCAAAAAAAAAAAATGGATACCCACGCTGTTTCACGTTTAGCTTTAATCGTGGCACGAACAGACGCCTTATTGCATGCCGAAAAGAAAAATCTGACTCTCAAACTTCGAAAAGTCTGTAATAGGGGGGGGGGGGGTTAGCTTGTTTGTGGGTTTTTGCTGGACTTTGTTCAGGGGCCATATGCTACACGGCGGACCGGGACAGAGAAAGAAGCGTTGTAAAGAAAAGTAGTGGGAAAAAGTGAGAATCAATCGTGTACGCGCGCTGGGCGCATTTGTCACTGGCTCGCGCTGACCAATCGCAGAAGACGGCGTAGTCCCGGTCCCGCTTCATCCCGCCTTGTAACATAGGGCCCCAGGACCCTCACAGGCACACAAAAATTAACTTCAGCTAGTAATTCTGCCTCTAAGATTTTTATATATATATATATATATATATATATATATATATATATATATATATATATATATATATATATATATATATATATATATATATATTCTATTAAACATTTTATGCAGTACCAAACCTGCGTTCCTGGCTAACATAAAAAAAAAATATATTAGGGCATTAACTATTTCGATCAATTTTTATTTGCATAATAACTCGAGTGTGATTCGTTCGATTAAGTATCTTCACTGTCCGGAAGTCGGATGTGTGTATCTTTGACTTAAAAATTAAGCGATCCTAGTGTTGTGCGTGAAATCGATGCTCGCGTGACAGACACTTTTGCTCGACGGCTGCGGCTCGCTGCATCTTTTATTTTTATCGGAGATCTGTCATAGCAAAGTTGCCCAGTCAATTGCAAAGCATTACAGCACTTAAAAAACAACACCCTGAAAGCAAAAAATGTTTAAAAAAAATTAATCGTGGTTTCGTGTGTTCACACGAAACCTAGCAATGATGTTGCCCTTTAAAAGTATGCAAACAAAACCCGAACCGTAAGTGTTCTCGGAAGTGTTCCCGAATACCATGTATATGCTCCGCTTACAGAGCAGAGTACCGCAATGGTCTCCCATTTTTACCCTCCAAGTATTGCAGGGAGTGGACGTCGCTCTTGCAGAAGCGGCGGCGTACAACCTCCGTCAACGTTGACACGGCGGTGGGCCGGCGATATACCCTGTCCCTCGGAATTGCGCATGCGCCGTGCGCCCCGCTTTGGACCGTTTTGTGCACGTGAAACCTCCTCCGTCAATGAGGAGTTGGCAGCGAAGGAAAAACGAATGTGCCGTACTCTGCTCTGACTCCGCCATTTAGTCACACTAAACCACACCAACGCATGCATTTCAGACGCCATCGCCAAGCTGTTTCCCGACAAGGAAACCGAACTCGGGAGTGCAGTGGACAAGTTGGTCAAGGACATGAAGAGAATCAACATTCCTCTCGTCATTTACGGAACGTTGTTCCATCCCGAGATGGCTGCCTCGTCCACCATGTCCGACGAGGAGCAGAGGAGGAAAGCGGGTGAGACAGCCTATGCCTTCCCCTTTCCCCCGCCCCGCAAACACACACCCAACAGGGGTCTGTTAGGCACCGTTGGTTAGGGAGCTTGCGCTGAACATCCGACACCTGCCAGACTATACTTCGTATCACCTTAGGTCCGAGCGCGAACGATGTTATGAGCAGAAGGACCAATCAAACAGCGCAAAATGCGCAACGTCATGGCGTGCTCTCTGTGCTTGATAGGACTAGCCGGCGGAGAAGCACGCACAGAGAGACGGCTAATACCGATTGATCCTATCAACTGCAGAGTACACGCCATGACGTTGTGCCTCTTTCGCTGTTTCACTGGCCTTTCCGCTCATGACATCGGCCGCGCTCGGACCGAAGCTGAAACGAAGTATAGACAGGTGCTTTCACGATGAAGACCTCGCCGCATTGCACGCAGCCATTGCTGTTAAGCCGCACGACCAGGGCGCGAGGACCCGAAATGTTCCTTGGAAATGTTTGGGGTCCTTAGTGTGCAGTTACTGTTCCGTGACGATTTGGAGACTTGGTCACGTCGCATCGGGGAGTGGCTGGGGGAAAAAAACAATACCTCCACTCTCCGCTAGGCCGCTTGCTCTGGGTTCCAGCCAGCAGGAGGGACATCACCACCATCACCATGATCATCACCATTATTATTATTATGACAGCGATCAGATTTTGTCGCGTTAATGTCCTCACAAAAAAAAAACAAAAAAACACAACCTTCAGCGATTGAAGCGAAAAGTGCATACATCACGCATGCAGTGATGGAAGTGCCATTTGACCTTTTGGAGCAGGCCTTTTAGCAGGCAAAATGTTGTTTTGGAGCAGGTAGTGGCCCTTTTGGAGCAGGGTCCGGCATATGTTGGCATATTACTTGAAAATGAAATAATGCTGCATTGCTATATAAAGCCCATCTCGATTATTGGAACACAGGGCCTGTCGCCTTTTTAAGACAGGATATATAAAATTCAAAAAAGTAAACACAAAAAAAAACTTTTTAAACGAAGTTTATCTGCTCGTCAGATAAAAAAATACAATTAAATATGTCACACTGAGTTCTGATGGTACAAGATATTTAGTTTTATCAGCCTGCACTTTTAAGGCATCTGCAGCAGCATCTAACGACCCTCACTGTTGTGGAATATTTTAGTTCACATTACAGTTGTCTTTCGGGCAGCAGCTTAAAATACTGCGGTATCTGATATTCGCTTCAAAAATTCCCGATTCATTTTCGATGTGCTGGCGAAGTCACGATCGGATCACGGCGCGTTAACCGGTTGAGTGCGCTCCTTGGCACGCACCGACGCGCTGCAGAGAAGCGACACCCGCGGAGCAGACACCGCAGTCGCGCGAGTCGCGCAGTGCTTTGTGCTCCGAAAATGACGGTGAGGCTTTACCAGCACTACATCCAGAGTTTGGTGCAACTGAACTATACTTCGTTTCAGCTTCGGTGCGAGGGCAGCCGAAGCTACAAGCGCGCGTATGGAGCCCGTAACGGTGCCCACACTGCACGAGCCCACGCGCGAGTCAGGAATGCACAGAGCATTGGGCTCGCGCTAGCTTTGACTTCGCTGGTAGCTAGCGCACGGGAACAGGGCGGGCTAGGGTGCCTTCATGTGCGCTTTAGGGCGGGCCAACATTGAAAACATCCACAAGCTCGGCCTTTCTTTTTTCTTTTTTTTTTTAATAGGCTGCTCAGTGGGACGGTTCTTCGCTTAGCCTCTGCGGCTTTGGTCTCAGATGTTGCTAACGTTGTTCCTTTCAATGATGATGATGATAACGTGCCCTCGCAGTTTCGGTTTGCGTAATAGTTGCGGCGCGGAAAATACCGCGGTACCGCTATGCGCTTTGATAAGACTTCAATTTTTATTGTTTATTGCTACATCTCATCTCGGCGCAGGCATGGCGAAATTCTTCGGTAAAATGACAATTTGGCGCTACATGTAGCAGGACTGCGTCCTTGGCGCAATTGGCGCGATTGGCGCATCACTTCCATCACTGCGCATGCAACATGCAGCACAGCATTCGTTTCAATAAAAAACAAGCAGATAACAAGCATCCCAAACAGATAATTGATAACAAGGCACATACGTTTCTCGGTAAAGATTACTGTTGCGCAAGCTGCCGCGGCGACGGCAGCTTGCGACGTGGGGAGTGACGTCACCAGCCTTTCATATATGAAAGAAGAACCCGCCTCCATTTCACCCTACATCCGGACGCAGCGGACACTACGAGCTATCCTAGCCATTCCCGTTCTGTGGACGTAGCCCGTGATACGCTTTCCGCCCGTCGCTGTGCTCCCCTCTCCAAGGTCACGTGCCACTCACACGGCCTTGGATTGGCTCCGATGGCTCGTAACATCCGCTGCGCTTGGAAGGTGAAACGGAGTTTAGCAACTGATTTGATTGTTGTTGCAGCGTCACTATGGGTAGGCCACGCATAGTTAGGACTCCCGAGGAGCAGCGTGAATACGAGAAGCGGAAAAGGGAAAAGAAGCGGCAATACAACCAGCGGCGGCATGCTGCGACCAGCGGCAGCATTTGGTATAGTGCAGTGTGCAATTGTTGCAGGTGATACCACAGCTTCGCTGGGAAACCAGCTTCACAGCATTGATTGGAGCCCCAATTATTATTATTATTATTATTATTATTATTATTATTATTATTATTATTATTATTATTATTGATGTTAAAGGGGCACTGAAGTCAGTTTTGAAAAGGTAATTTTTGATCTCATATTGTTTAAAATCTGTTAGTTCCCACATACGCCAAGTCCTATATTACAAAACCGCCTATTCATCTCAGGGCAATAGAAAAACATGTGGACTCTTTTTTTCTCACGGATTACATTGTGTGGACTACAATGCCCGCAGATTCCGAATGATTTTATTATAACTCGTTTTGAAGAGTCTGATAGGTACACATTCGGATTAGACTCCTCTTTTTCTCCGCGGGCGAAGCCATCGCTTGCAACTCGCCGACAAACGCCCTTCGTCGACCACTTCACTCGGAAGAAAATTCTTCCCAAAAAGGGCGTGTCGCGATCTTTGAACACGCTTTTAACGAGGAAACAAGCTACGCACGACTGTAATTTCGGGTTTGTTGGGATGCTTAGAGCGTCTAGATTGAGTTGTCACCACGAAAGGACGGTCTCAGAATCGACTTCGGTGCCCCTTTAACAGTATAGGTGAGGGTCAAAACCATCCCTATGACATGCCATTAAGTAGCAGGTCGATGTCATCTTTTGAAACCAAAAGCCAAAAAAGCATTGTACCTCAAGAAAGAACATGCAAAATTTATGTATACAGGGTCGTCGAGACAAATCTGGAAAATTCACGATATTCAGGATAACACACAGAGACAAAGATGAAATGAATATAGACCGTTTTTTGTGCTTTGCTCTGTCTGCCATACCGTCTTCCTGGCTGAGATTATCTGAACATTTTGCCAATGCTGTAAACTTGTGCCCTCTTGTGGCCATACTACGTAATGATTTGCATGGGCAACTTTCCGGCGCGAAGCGATTTGAGTATTGCTGCCCTCCGGTCATATTCCTTGCTCAATTTTTTAGCAAGTTGCACATTGTTTATCATGCGATGGTCCACTGTCGAATTACGTGGCCGCAGAAGCGCAATACGGCCGGTTAGCTTCACTCTAGGGTTGTGCGAATATTCAAAATTTCGGATAGTAGTTTAGGATAATACGCTATTCGATATTCGCTTCGAGAAGAACTGCACTATTCGCATTTTTCGAAGTGTTGATTGCCGCGGGTTAGCCCCGTTGAGCGCGCTTCTTACCGAGCACCGGTGCACTGCGGAGAAGCAATACCCGAGGAAGCGAGCTCCTGGGGCGTTGCTTCTCTGCATTACACAGGTGCTCGGTAAGAAGCGCACTCAACGGGGTAACCCGCCGCGATAAACGCTTGGAAAAGTGTGAATGTCGCAATTCCGTACTTAGAAGAAAAGCATACCTTTAAAGCGCGATGGTGCACGCGTACCGGCTGTGTTTGAAAATAAATGGAAACTTTGTGAATGTGTATATCTACATTGTAGTAAAAGTTTCAAAATTAAACTGACTGTTATGCAAGAGTATATGTTAGGCAGAGATGCCCTTACAACCTGTGTTCATAATGCATGATTCTTTTGTTTTTGAGAATAAAGAACATTTTATATAGTAAGATTTGTAAAGTCCCTCGATTGGGTATAGTTGGCCATCTCTAAACGATTCATTTTATGTAAAATCCTAAGAATAAACTTAGCTGCTTATAACTGATTAAGCGGAACAATTATTCACGAGTTTAGCTGGGTTTTCGTCTAAGCGTGATGCAACAGTAGTGAAAGGCGTGGCAAAACTATTCGATATTCGAATCGAAAATATTTGGCCAAAACCACTATTCGCTTCAAATTCACTTCAAACTCAAAATACACTATTCGCACAGGACTGCTTCACTGTATTGTTAAGAGATAAAATCTGGAAAAAGTCCAGATTTATCTCGACGACCCTGTACATATAAGTGATAACATGCCACGATACTTACTATATTTCCTGATTTGAAACTGCATCTATTGAAGAGTTTGAACTGAAGAGATTTGGCTGGGAACTATGTGCATAAATTGTCGACAACTATAATTTTAGCAATGGAGGAAAACTATTGATCTTTGGTTTGCTGACGACACACAATATGATTTGAGGTTCTGGAAAATGTTGGCCCTATTTTAAGTATGTATTCAATTATTGCAATTAGTGACACCAACCTAAGGAGGAACTCCAAACTGCGGCAGTCGGAGAGGGCAGGATAGAACACTGTTTATGACAAAGAGATTCAACAATAATTTCAAGAAACAGGTGCAAAGCTCAGACTAATTTCCTGCAGACTTGGTGAAGCAAGGTAAAGCCCAGATCCTTGAATTGATGGAAAGAAATCCGGACTATGTCAGCTCCTATGTGGAGAAGCAGAAGGCCTACGACACGTTCCTTGCCCTGGCACAGTCAGAAAGCGCAGTCACCAAGGAGCTGGAAGAAGTTGAGAAGGTACTCGACATAACGGAGGAAGTGGTCAACTCTAAAAATACCTCGGGCACCATGACCCCCGGTAAGTACGCAAAATGTTTCCTCGCTTGAGAGAACTCGTTCAGCCAACAGAGGTCCAGACAAAAATGGTCCTCTTCCAAAGCCTCACGTATCCGTTCTAATTTGTATGACATAGAAAAAAGTACCTATGTCATTCCAATGACTACCTCATCCAGAAAGGAACCTCATGTAGCCTATATGTTGAGCTTGTTCATCTCGTTGACTGCATAAAGTATCTGTATCGGTAAAAGCCAACTGCATTAATGACAGAGTGAGTAGGCATTTTAGGACAAGTGTTAGAACTACACTGGAATACAAGAACGTTTCACCGACCGAAAATTATCACTATAAAAGCTTTACAGCGATCTGAAGTAACAATATAACAATTTATTAGGATGTTTTTGTCTTCCGCGTGGAAGATATCATCAATGTGTGTCTAGGCACACAAACAAGCACACAACCAGTGAGGTTATTTATTCCGCATGCACTTTGGGAAGGGGACCACAATTGGCATTGAAAGTCGATATGTCACTGAAGGGTCACAGCCTTCTCAAAATTGAAGTTGTGACCAGTTGTCCTAAAATGGTGAGAGTTTGGTCTTTGACCTTACGTCAGGCGTTCCCCTTTTCAGATCCTGCACGTGCATATTCCTTGGATCAAGTACCATATTTACTCAAGTAATAGCCGCACTATTTATAACAAGGCCTCCGCGTCTACTTTCCCGCAGAACACATATACAACCAATCATCGCATTGTGCATAAATAACAGCGAATAACTAGATTGAAAACACGATTCTCCATACAAACGCAATCTTCACAGATGTTATCTTTGTGCCAAAACTTTATCTCTTTCCTGTAAATCGCTGGAGTCGTGCTGTCGAAAGCGGTGATTGGCAATCTCCGTGCTCCGCGGAAAAGCGAACCCTCAGGTTTTCTTCATAAACTATTACTCGAATAAATACGGTACATTTTTGGCTGGTCTCCCCAACGAACGATGTGATATGGTCCGGACAGTTCAACATTTAAAACGTGGCACCACTCTGGGACTGTGGGAATTCAGTCTTCTGGTTCAGAAATGAACTGGCACAGTTCGGGATTTGGTTACAAAGTTGTTCTAATATTCAAAGGGAGGAGAGCCTGGCAAGTAGAATTAAAAATGCCTATGATTCCCAAATGGTTACAACAGCCTGCTCTCAATCTAGTTTTCTCCTCATGCCTACCTTGGTGCATCTGCTAAGTGTTTTTAATAAATTGTCACAAATAATTGTGTTTCATGAGGGATCCAACAACAACTGAATCTTCATATTAGGGTTCTTACATTAACTCATTCATACTCAACAGGTTGGTGGGAGTTAAAATTCCACAAAAGCATCATCCAAAAAAAGTATTGTTGAATATCAGAACAACCTTCTAACCACATCTCAAAATATGCGACCTCATTTCTAAACCAAAAGATCAAACTTCACCAAAGTCCCAGAGTTCTGTCATATAGAAGATGAACTGACAGAACTGCAACACATCATATATCAGGGAGCCTGGCTGAAAAAGCTGTACCTGATATAAGAAACACAAACGTGAAAGACTGTACTTGTCGACACTGTTAAACACCTGAACACAACTTTGATTTTGAGAATGCTGTCACCCTGATGCAAGGACAAAGGCACGGACCACAAAAGTGCCTAAAATCAATGCGGATTTGCAGCGACACATCGTCCTGCAACACCAATTGTGGCCCCATTTCTAAATTGTATGCCATCTTGTTGTGACGTCAGATTTTGTATAAACATCAGCACTTGGGCAGCTTGCGCCAGTTTCGCCCAGTGTCAGAAGCAGTCAAAAGGCTGTCGCGATCGTCCATGGGAAATAATGAACTACAATTCATCGAGCTTGTGTGAGTCGAGCAATGGCCAGCAAAAGGTATAAAATTTTCAGCATGAAATTAAGACGATTCACTGAGGGGACCACGAGTGGTGGCTGTACTCACGATCTGCCGACACATGCCCAGATGCCGCTTCAGAAGCAGAATGGTACGGAAGGTTTTGTTTGCTAGCACGATGCGAATTGTTTTCTAGCACGATGCTAACACTAGGAGCCAGCGTTTGCTTCAAACAGCTCAGACCCACTTCCATCGCACAGACTTCTCGGTGGGAAACTGATGAGATATCGCTCCGCAGCATTTCTTCGTGGTGTTATTGCACCCCACAGCCAATCCCCGCCACCCTCCATCGCATTACGCAAACAACCTAGACCAGACGCAGTTCACAAAACCAATGATGCTCACTGTCACTAGAATGCAGAACGGCGCGGAGGAGGGAGCGTCGTTCTGCTCTCGGATACAACATTTGACTTCACAAACGCCCCTATGCATTGTTGCCAGTAGAGCGGTAGTCGGCGATTCGTAGGTGTATGCGTAAACTTGAAAATGAGCTTTCTCTAAAGAAAACTATTATTTTGATGATATATTTTGTAGACATACTCAAAGGTGGATATTTAGTGCGTGCAGAAAATTTGATAAAAATCGATGACCATCAATATTTTGCCAGAGCTCCCCTTTAATAATTGCTTTGTCAAGTCGGTGCAATTTGATTAATACAGAGAGTAAAAAACATCAATAAATAAAGGGACAAAAAGACCAGTTAGGAGACACATGAATAGAGCAGCAAACAAGCCAAGCTGTGGTAGCAATTGGTCAGGAAGCAAACTGGTACGAGAGTTCCCTGGACAGCACGCACAAAGGATTTTGTGCGAGGGCCATTAAAATGTTTTCTTGAAAATAGTGTCCACATAGGACAGGTGAAAATGTATTTTCCAAAAACTTTCAGCCTTTCCAATCTGGTGAAGGAGGAGGACCAGCGAAGCTGTGCTATGGTGGGAATGAAGTAATGGCTGGCCGCAAGTCGGCAAGCCAGAGTGGAAAGGCTGCAAAGGTTGGCGCCATCTATGAGTGACGGCGGCAACCAGACAACCAGCAAACAAAACACTCTAGGCAGCTATCGCCATCTATCAGCGATGGTGGCAACCAGACAACCGACAAGCCAATTGTCTGGTTGTCGCCATTGTTTGTAGATGGCGATAGCTGTTCAGTGTTGTGTTGACATTTCTTTGGTGGCGGATAGGATCCTGGGGAAACTAGCCCTTAACAGCTCTGCTGTAATATAAAACTTGGTCTCTATTGACAAATTATGTTCATGGATAGAACCTGAAATCACCTTGCCACCTGGTGCCCATACAGAGACCCCAGTTATGATAGTCATCCGAGCATCAAAACTACAAGAGCTGTGAGGATCAGCCCTGATGCCACATTGCTCTCTTCCTTGATGCAGAGATGTCGCAGACCTGGCTGTTCTCCATCTATATCACGGCAGCGGATGTGTACCTCATGGTGCTACTGCACGCGCTGTACAAGGCCGGCCTATGGGAGCGGTACTTTGAGAAGAGTCATCGAAAGCACAAGAACCTTGTCCGCTACTTTAAGAGGATGAAACACGACCCCCTCATCAGCAAAGCACTGCCGGGACTCATCAAGTAGCCACCCAGCTCCCAAAATTCAGATTCACGAGGAAACCAAGCGCCAGACCAGACGGTGGCTTCAGCATTTATACAGACAGAAAATCAGGAACTCGGCCAACCTTTTGGTAAACTTGAGCCAAGCTCTATAAGAGGTCCCGACAAAGGCCAGTCAGCACATGCACGAGCAAGTCTGATGCAACGTCATCGGGAGTTAAAGCGGCATGCTGCTATGTACAATCCCCTTCACCGTCCAGGTCCACACTACTCGCAGAAAATTCAAACAGCCCCTTTCCCGACTCTCTCCGACTTCACCGTTGCTCGGAGGTAACAAATGCACCTATGAACGTTTCGAGCAAGAACGACTTAGCCCATCCAGGGTTTCAAGCCTAGGTCTTTTCTATCTGGAAGTTTGTGTCAAAATCCTTGCAAAGCACACACCACCACAACCTCTCTCTCTCTCTCTCTCTCTCCCTCTCTACTTGCTCCTTGAGCCAGCAAGGCGGCAGGTTTACTCCTTCTTTTCGTGGCGCACGTCTTCTGAAATGGGAAAAAAAAAACTCCCGTTAGGAACGGACATCGACAAACCCTCTTGTGGACAAATTCTAGGCATCTATCAGTTTCGCTGCCTGCAAATGGGCTTTTGAAACTTCTACTTGATGATGACCAGGAAACAGCGAATGTTCCATATTGAATAGGCCAATCAACTGCTGACTTTGTGTCGCTCTGTGCACATATGTATGTGCAAAGAGCACAGTTATGCTGAAGGTCACAGGCAAAATAAGTACGGCAGGAGGGAGCTTCAATTGTCTTGCCTCCAGCACCAGCTTCCCACCTTTGACAAAGCTTTGGCGTCTCGAGCACGCGCATGCAGCTAAAGTGCGGTGAAGGGCATGGAGCACGTGCTGGAGGTCGGACATTCGAAACCTTGCCCTTCTCATTCTGTCCATTACTATAGCACTGAGGGAAAAGCAAGTAAGCAAGGGGTCCAATTGTTTGATATTAAAACTCCAGACAAGTTTTGTTGTGAGCTCTAACAGTATATGTAACAGTATGCAGGAATCAGGGATCTCACAAACTTTTGTCAAACCTCAGCTTCTACATCAAACCTTGAGGTTCAACTGGTTCAGCAAACCTTCAAGCTTTTGGCAAAATTGCACGAAGTTCAACTTCTTAAAGGGCACCTCTGGCTGAAAACGAAAACAAAAATAAATGACTGGTATCGCTTTACTGGCACGAAATATGATTACGGTTGAAATATTACGTCAAAGTGAAGCAGCATACTCCACTAAGACCGATTTTAAAGATGCGACCAGCTGGTCTTCAGCAGGTGGCAAGCGGGTTAGCTTTTAGTCAAGCAACGCTGGGCGACGCGTACCGCAGCACCACCGTGACGTCACATCGCGGCCGTACAGCTGATGATCAGTGTTGCCATCCCTCTGTATAGTTTCGGTTTTGCCGTAGGCACCCAAGACCAGACTGTGAGCCGTGATCTTTATAAAGCTACACACAATATTTAAAAAAAATATTATACCTTGTAACTCAGGGACACTGACTGAGCTGAAAACAGTCGTAATCCCTAATTCGAATATACTGAGCAGAGTTGCCCTTTAGGGGGGTACGGAAACAAAAACTGAAATATTCAAATTTCGTTCGGAAATGAGTCAAGCATGACGGATAATAACCGTAAATGATAATCGCACGTTTGTATTTTGAACGATTGGCTATATTTTTCGTTCCAAACGGTGCACCCGAGCAAGCGCTCGAAGAGAAGCTAGCGGAGAGCCCGATGCGTCATGGGATGTCCGGCGCAAACAAAAAGAGAAAGAAAAGATTTCCCGCATTCGTGGAGTAGCAAGGCAGGCGTGCTTATGAGCTTTACCCTTGGTGGCGTTGTCAGCGTTGTGGTGGTGTCAATAGCGTCGGCGCGTTACAACCGAGCCGTATGAAGTACCCGTGGGGTGACGAGCGTGTGGCAGGCCCAAGGAGCACGTAGCTTCCACAACACTGTCAGCTTAGGGCTGAACGGCGTGAGGAAAGGAACTTTTGTTCGAGTTTTGAGGGACGGGCTAATCTTCTGGAGGGAGAATGGCTGTTTCCGGTTGCACGAACGTGGGTCCGAGACAGAGGGGAGGCCTTCCTTTCCGTCTTCTTGGACCGTTTGGTACAATGCGCGATTTGCGAGTTGAGCTAGGAGGAAAGCTAAGAAGGAAAGTGTTGAAATTCCAAAGGGCGGCGCTGCTCCGAAGGAATCTGCTACGTCACGACTACGTAGCAGATTCCACAACGTTGCTAGACTACCTCCCAAATAGGCTTCGCATGCATCCACCAGGTGCACATTGAAGGATCGTTTATTTAGCTTTAAAATTAGTTTTCTTGTGCTTTTCAACGGAAGACTGGTGTTTTTGAGGTTAGGGTGCAACATGCAACACATTAAAGCTAAAAAATGAGCGCTAAAATTTCGTTTCCCTACCCCTTTAAACATCGCTGCCAAACTTCTACAAAAAAGTTTGAAATTTTAGGAATTCTTTAGAAAATAAAAATAGCTTGTTTTAAATTTCAGAGAGTAATTATTAATGTTACACAATACAAAAGCAAACATACACTTTAAATATTTAGTTAGTTTGTTAAAATGCTAAACCCTTTCTCCACCAGGCAATATCAGCTCCTTTTTAACCTACGCGCACGCGCATGTTAACCGAACACCCACCAAACTTTCGTCAAATTTCGAGAAGTTACAAAAAGTTTGCGACCCCCCTAGTCAGGTGTGGCGTCCCTATAGTCAGGTTTAATGTCGAACTTTGAGGTTCGACTGGTTTAGCAAACCATCAAACTTTTGGTAATGTTCAAGGAAGTTCGACTTCTTGGACAGTGCTGCCAGATAGTCATACAAAATTTTCCAGTTTTTGATAAAATTTTACATCTGTCTTATTTTAATGTTGAAACAGTAATTAGTCATTACACAACTCAGTAGTCATCAAAATTAGTAAATTACCCAATTTATTAACTGAACTTGTTCTTTAATGACTTAAAATGCCCGATCCGTTCTAGAATGACAGCTTTGCACAGTCACTTTCTTTCGGTTTCGTCTGTCTCCATGGGCCAGCTGGTCACACCAAAACAGCGGTTCAAGATACTTTTTTTTTCTTTTTTTCATTTTACTAACTTAAGGAGCTTCAATCTGCGCCCAAGGCACACAACTTAGCTTTTATCCGACTTGAACACGTTACAAAAAAAAAAAAAAAAGTAAGAAATTGCATTTAAAATTACCCATGGCTCAATTGTAACTAATCACAGTTCCAATTACACTTCCATAAAAGTAAGTGACCGTCATATCAAAAAGTAATCCATTACTTTCACGGCGTTACTGTCCTAGGGTAAGAAACAAAACACGAGTGTTATGGAAGCGTTTATTGTTGCCGCCACTCACACTTTTGTGACCTTGAGCAACATATCTGGCTCTCAAAAGTCTGATCGGCCACCTTGCCTTGTTTCTATGTGAAGATGTCGTCCGCCGCACTGAACACGTTTTCAAAATCCACTCTTTTTTTCAATTAGATGCTGCCACCTGGACACGCGACTGGGTTCTAGAACCTGTTGGCCCATTGAGACACTGTGACCTAGATACGGCTCCCCCAAACTTGGCTTTTTTTCCCCAAGTGTGGATTATCATCCTCCCTGAAGTTGATACAAAGAACTCGATCACATTCTCTCTTTCTCGTCCAGAAGGAAGCAAAGAAAGAGTGAAGGGAGAAAAAGAAAAGGCACGCAGATTTGTTACGCCAGCTCACGTGCACTTTGCCCTCCTTTTCTTTCTTCTTTTCGTTGGAAGGAAACATTTCAACCTCGGGAGTTGCCTAATATTGTTTGTACAGCAAGTCCGGTTCTTTGTATCAGTGTGCTGCTTCCTTCGTTGTAGGCAAGCAAGCTGACGGGTTACAATTTGCATATCCCATCCAAGCCACATAAATAAAAAAGAAAAAGATTTGAATCGAGGCTTTAGATGACGAGAAGAAATGCTTTGAGCATTTGAGCCTTCCGTTTTGTGAATCCACGTGACAGTCTGATTCCGGTAGAGCTTACCCTTGCAAAAAAAATGTTTTGAAGACTGTCTTTTTGTCAATATTCAATATTCTCACCTTTTTCCTCCATGAATGAAAACAAAAATGTAACAGATTACAATCATTCCCTTACGTAAAAAAGTAAGGGAATTACTTGACAATTACCTTCTAAAATATGTAATTATTCCCTAACAAAATGACTGATAAATGTAAGGGATTGCAAGTAATATCGTCCCTTGTAACAGATTACGGACAAGTTTGGCTTTCATGCTGACTTTGTTTCTGCTAATAATGTCATGTCCCTCTCTAGATAAGCACACTTGCCACAAACACATTGAATTATTACTGGTTCAGTACAACATACAAGCCCAAGTGCAACATTGATACTATTATTCTTACATATGCAAATAAGTACCAAATTTTTAAAAATTCTTGGACTATTTTTGTTTTCTACCTTTTCACTTTGTGTCTGAGATGCCTCCGAACATTGCAACTTGCGGCCAGGATCACGTGTATATTGTTTCCATATATGTTTGCTAATTTTTTTTGTTTTCTGGCTAGATTCAGCTTTAAACGGATTCATGCCATCCCTAACAGGAATGCTACCACTCTATCGCACCATGGCAACATTTACATTACTAAAAAATGTTAAACCCTACAATTTAAAAGCAGCTCGCCATGGCCCAATATTTTACAAGTGGTTTCCTATGGGCAATCTCATCCTCTGGAACATTCACGATAAAAAAAAATACACGAAGATCCATTGGTGGATTCTTAGGGAATGCGTTAGCACAACCCTTTGGGAAACGCTGACTCCTTCACTTTTCTCTTTTGGCTTTCACTTTTGATTCCTCTTTTTTTTGCTGCCTCTTTTTGGCCTCGTTATGGTGTCAGTGTTAGCGTTTCTTAAAGGGGGACGTATGTGGTGGTTCCCAAGGGTCATGATAACAAATCCGCCAAGAATACACCAATGGATCTTACTATAACTTTTTTAACCCCTTTTCTGTACTCAGCGTGTCAGAGCATGTCGACGCTTTTGGATACGGTCATCCATATTACTCGTGGAAAGAACCCCGTCCATACCACTCGTGCAAGGAACCGCATCCATTATCACTCGTGGTGGAACCGCATCCTTCGTTTTAACTACACACACATATCACACCCCACGCACCGCTACTACGAGAACGGAGCGAAAAACCACCGGCGATTGAAGAGTGGCAACTGAACAAGCCCACATTTCACCGTGCCGTGGCACAACACCTACTAGATAATAAGGCCATAGTGCTGAACAAGATGGCGTCATTAGAGAAGGCCGTCGCTGGGCACAGATTGGACACGACAATTCTGTCAACGTTCGACTCAAACTTGACTTGAAGCCAAGCACAGATGCAGCGATCATTTCCAATCTGTGTCCAGTGTTGGCCTTTTCTGATTAGGCCATCTCATTCAGCACTACGGCTTTTCTATCTAGCTGTTGCACGACGCCTCCTCCTCTCTGGCTCTGCGCCAGCTCTGCACGTGACTTTGCTGAAAATGAAAGGGCTCATTTTGACGAAAACCCGGCGGTGTCTGTCAGTTTGTCAGCGGCAGAGAGAGAGGGACTTCTCCCTCTCTCCCTGGCACTCACAAACGAAAGACGCCGCCAGGTTTTTGTCAAAACGAGCGTATTATGCCATTGCATTAAACAAGAATGACAGTATGTAGTATGATTATCTTTTCGCTGTAACCAATGGCCTCCTTGCGATCACAGTGACGACGGACCACGTTCCCAATCTTTGTACCCCTTCCCCCACTCTGGGTTTCTGGCATGCCGAATCTGTAGACACACTAGAATTGACTCAAAAGCGGCCAAGTTCTCCATATGACTAGGGTATCAACGGAAAAAGAAAGTCAACATGCCTGCTTCATCGTCGTCATCGGATGCCTCCAGGACATCGCAGCAGCAGGTGGTGTAGCAGATTATGCTCAAGAAGCCCAGCGGCAGGCCAAACAGCACGGCTGTCAGCACTGGGTTTCCCCTCCACATTCCCTGTTCGGCAGGATATCGCACATGAGGGACAGAAAGAGGGAAGGTAATCGTAATCTAGAAAGAAGTGTGCAGAGGATGCCAGAAATATCAATATGCAAGCAAACAAGGTTATGTGACAATGAAATGAAGGCTGCAGGGCAAAAAGCATGTGCACTCAGCTCAAAAACTGCAAATTCAACTTAAAAAAAAAAGGTGATACCAATTCATCTACCCTCATTCGAAACATTGGCAGAGCGAAGTTGGAGCACCATAAAAACCAACGTAGCCGTGACAACGCAGTGCAAAAAAAGCAGATAGCTAGTATAGCCTCCTGGGCGCCTTTAGGTGCCTGTGGGTCACCACTAGAATTAAAGGGCAACTCCGCTTGATTTTTGGTTTTGAAAAAACAATAGAGTCTTCTTCAGTATCGCCTAGGAAGACCACACGTCAAATATTACGAAGCAGTTCTGTCTAAATGTTTCTTAAACGGTTCGGAAAGCTTTGCAACTCGCCAAGTGGCCGAAATCGGCTGACTCGAGCGGGCGAATTCAGGCGCAACCAAAAGCGCAGTCAAGGCTTCGGCGTGGGCGTAGTCAAGATTGAGCTAAACGTCGTCACCATTGCCTCCTTTTGCTTGTTTTTACTTCTCTGTGCGAGCGTAGCGCATGACGTCAGCAACGTTTCCTCTCGGCGCTCAGCAATGTCCACGTGATTGGCGTAACGCGCCTGCGCAGCACGCTTCTTAGGAATCGTACAGCCGACCCAAAGTGGTTCTGCCTGTTACCGCCGTCTCCCGCGTCACAACCGCTGTCGTCGTCTCACCATTCGTGATTATTGTCTCTCGGAGTTTCGTCCACACTATGGGCAATACGTGCGCACACATATGCCGCAGTTGTGCAGACGTCGTCAAATGTCGTAGACACCAAAACGTGGCAAAGAGTGCGGTGCAGACGACACTTGCGCCTGGCACACGCCCGCCCCAATCCCGCCCGTCGTTGCGTAGAGGATCACGTTACATCTCGTACCACGTGATGGCCATGTTTTTGGCGGCCCGAGGCCAATGTTGCCGGACGGAGCCGAAGTTTCAGTTTCGATTTTCGCTCGTGTTTAAAATTAGATTTAAATATATATACTGTAAACAACTTAATTTTCGCAAATTTCGCCAATCGCATACAATTCACGAAAAATAGGTCCCGCGAACAATTCCGGTAAAATGTAAATACATTGGAAGGTATATTGAGATCCCACTGAGTCGCGAAAATTAAAACCAGCGAAGTATTTCAAAACTTTGACATAAATCGTGAAATATTGAGCCCGCCAAAAATAATTAGTTTACAGTATCCCATTTTTCGCGAAGCAAACGACGTGGTGTGTTTTACTACGGCTTTTTAATATAAAGTCACTTTATCCCAAAATCTTCGGAATTGAGCGGAGTTGCCCCTTTAAGTGTTAATAGTGTACACATCAACTCAAATCTGTTACGTCACATGCCCGGTGGCGGCGCGTCGAATGCACTTTCGGTCTGGGGCTGTGGGCGGAAGCCGCAGTGCAGGCTTTCCTGTGTTGTTTTGGAATAAAGCAGACAAAAACCTGCCTTCTCGTCAAAACGCTGCGACTGGGGCTGCACCAAAAGAGTCGGGAAATATTTGGAAATCACTTTTCAAGTGTTTTCTGCCTTCTAGGCTTGTCCGAGAATGTGAATAGGTGCCGTGAAAATGGAAAACCAGACACTGTTGGACCATGCTTGCTTGAGCGGGAAGCACTCTGATTCAATTCACGGATACTTGTCATCGTCAAATTTATTTTTGTTCCAACGTGAATGCGAGAAAACTGTCAAGTTGTCCGGACGACCTGCGGACTACGTTCAGTGCATCTTCAAGTTCAAAAGGCCGCCTGATCGTTCGAGCTGTCTGCTCTTTCAAGCTTGTCTGCTTGTTGTCGTCTGCTCAATGAAATGACAGCGGCCCATAGACCAAACATAGACCCGGTAATTGCGATAAGAATTCTCATTATGCCTCAGACAACTTTTAAGTTTGAAGGTTGTTTGGGGTAAGTAGGCTCAGTGCAAACAGTAGATACAGAGAGATGTTGATCATTGCTACCAGTGGCCATCATCGACTTGTTACGCCTGATTCACTTGGTCCAATTCTGTTTCTGACTTTCAGTATCAACGTCGAGCATCGCAGCTACCATCCACGCTTTTGCAGTCCAAGCGACGTCACAACTGAAAATAGCGAGCAGCATCTCATCATGGTTTTAGCATCCATTCTGCGACGTTAAAGGGATGCTGAACCAAAATCTGGATTCCACAAAACACGCAACAAAAGCGTGCAACGGGATGCTACAAACACCAAAACATCACTCATACAGCGATAGTCGAACGGATGACTGTATTTTCCAAAAAAAGGTGCATTTGACAGAAATGTTCACGTCATGTTTTTCCGAGAAGGAGAGGGAACGGCCTCGCGTTTTCTCCGCCTCGCCTCCTTGAGGGAGCGAAGTGAAGAGAGGAGGAAACGAGATATCTCTATGTCACGCGCCTCGTCGGCCTGGTTCAATCTTGACCTCTTTTTCCAAAAATACGGCCGTCCATTCTAGATATCGTCTTACAGTGTTGTAGGGATTGTAGTGTCCCACCTACATCTCCTACATTGTTTTTTTTAAATCCAAATTTCGGTTCATCATCCCTTTAACGTGAATCAATCGCCGTAGATCACATTATTTACGCTAAGTTTTGCAATGCAACGAGCCTCATTAATTGCACTCATGCCACTAAAGTGGCAAGACACTGAGACGTAGAATCAACAATTCCAACGAGAAAAAGAGCATGGGGACTCGTACCAATGCTAACAAAGTGACATTCCAATGGTTTGTCGACACACGGCGCGGCATTTCTTGCCCACACCCCATCGCACATGCGCGGCGCCAGTGGCGTGCTGCTAGAAGCGCTCCCGTTTGTTTGTAAACATGAGCTGGTGTATACACTATCACATTCTTTTTTGTCCCCGACTAGACGTGAAACAAAGAGAGGACGTGTGATAAGCCTACTGCCTAAGCCTACCATCAACACAAAGTTGGCAACCCATACGCTCACACTGATGTCTTCCACCTCTCATTTATACCCCCTACGAAATGTGACTGTCTTCCCACTGCCGTAGTCTCAACCACAGATCATGTTCTTCTTAACAATGCCTTAGATTGCGTTGTCTCAAGGCCCGTTCACACACTTGCAACCGAGTAAGACCGAGAGAGACAGGACCTGTTGAAACCTCTTAAAAGGTCTTGCAACGAGAGAACACACTGGTACCCTAGGACGAGAGGACACACTGGCACGCTGGCACCATCTATGCGGTGACTCTGGAATTGCATTTCACAAGAGCGAAGGTTTTGCGGGATTTCCGAGGTCAAATGTGCGTGATACCTTTCAGAAAGGCTAGTTTATAACGTTGACAAAAGTTTTTCGAGCAAAGGAAGAAAGGATAATCCGCGAGAGAAATAGAAAATATGCCGGACCGCCAAGTTTACACTGCTACCGAATAGCTGGCGCCAGTGTGTCCTCTCGTCGTAAGATATATTAAGAGGTTCCAAGGCACTCTGTTCTAAGAGGTCGCAAGTGTGTGAACGGGCCTTTATAGTATTATGTGTTATTATTTTTTCTTCAATCCACGTTGTAGCCACTTACTTCTCTCTAATGCTCATGCCCTGAGGATAAATATAATAAAGAAATTAATAAACTTTTGTTTCTGATGACACTGTTAGTCTGTCGCTCTTTGAGGTCACAATTCTAGATTTGTACATGATAGAAGAGTCAACTGCTTCCCATCAAAGCCATCAAGAACAAAAGTGCTCTCTGCGAGACAACTTACTGCAAGAGAGTTCTTGGCCTCAAAGTAGGCCCGATACAGGCGGTACGGGAAACTGTCCCCTCCGTAGGGCTGAAAACACAAACAAGATGTGTCGGTATAATCACAGCATTTGCTTTAATAGCTCTCGCCCCAGTTGCACGGGTCAGTGTAATTTAAGGAATTATTGTATTTACTCGAGTAATAGCCGCACTGTTTATGAAGAAAACCTGAGGGTTCGCTTTTCCGCGAGGCATGCGGCTTGCCAACCACAGCGATCAGCAGCATGATTCCAGCTGTTTACAGGACAGTGATAACATCTTTGCGCGAAGATACCATCTGTGAAGATTGCATTTGAATGGAGAATCATGTTCTCGATCTAATTATTCGCTATGTTATTTTTGCGCAGCGCGATGATTGGCTGTATATGTGTTCTGCGGGAAAGCAGCTATTACTCAAGTAAATACGTATATGTGTTCTGCGGCTATTACTCAAGTAAATACAGTACAGTGGCCTGGGAATTGACCAGGCACAGTGTTTACATCAATGTATTTTGACCTGACGACAGTGGCGCTCCACTAGCTATACAAATCTTTTTCCCATCACAGGCGACATGTTACCACGTAAAACAAGACCAGGTAAGCAATCGAGTGAGATACGGAAAACCTCCCATTTGCACAGCATCATTGAAGTTTAGACAGCCTTCCCAGCATTCATTATTTTCTCCAAGCAACTCCAGTCGTGTGCTGTGTAGGTCGACGCCGACGCTTCTTGACTCAGAACAAACTGTGAAACCTTCAATTTAAATGCTATCAGCACCAAAGAGCAGTCTTGGCAAAACACCCAGATGGCACCAGTACTTATTCACCACGCAACAAGCTGGGCCTGATATTGGGGTGGTTTGACAGCTTTGTCTAGAAGCGCAACAACTCAAGAAATGAGCGTGAAATGAGCAGTGTCTCCGTGGCCACCAGACTCGTTTCCCTAGACATCAATATCCTCGTTAAACAGCAAAGTGGGTACAACAAAGAAAGGCAGGATAGTGCAAAGGTGCATGAATGGCCCACTTACCACAGCGGAGCCGTCCAGGATGGTGTTGAGCAATTCGAGCACCGCCTGCGGGGAAGGCGGCTGCTCCCGGACGTCTCCCTCGGGCAGGAAGTACTGGTAGGTGTCAGGCTTGATCACCAGCAGGCTCGGGACAGGCAGGTTCATCATGGCCACCGAGTTGACGATGTCGGGAGCTCCCACCCAGCCAAAAACAAAGTGCCTGCACAGACCGGCCAGCAATGCCCCTCCTTAGGATCAAGCTGCAGCAATTTCAGGTTTGTGCTAAAAAAACGTATGACATGTCCATCAACGCTAAGTCTAATTTGGGGAGTTTTACGTGCCAAACTAACGAAGTGCATCTTGCAAACCCCAGTGGAGGACTGAGGATTAATTTCTACCACCTTTTGAGGTGCAACCGAAAGCTCGGTTGCACCTCAATCTGACAGAGGCCTTCTCCGCCATAACCCTCCGTCGGAATGCGGGCACCACGGCTGGGATTCAAACCCACCACCTGGGGATCCATCCATCAACACGACGACACACGAGAAGTCAATTCAAAACAAAAACACACGCTTCCAGAGCGATTGTTTTTTATTTCATGTGGCACCGTTTGCAAGCAGAATGAATTGGTATAGGGGGCACTTTGGTCAGCTTGTTTGCCACAGAGTTCTGTGTTTACCCAACACAAGGCCTGTGCGCACTGGATTATTACGTCACCTGCCTTCTGCCTCAAGTGAGCACGGGGCACAGATTGGAAACAAGTGCTGCGTCAGCGTTTGGTTAGACTCATGTTCAACTGGTGCTTCAGTGAGTGAACATGAGTCCTAGCCGAACACTGACGCAGCGTTTGGCTGATCGAGCCAAACGTTGTGTCAGAAACATAGAAGTAATTTATTTGAGAATACACGGTACCACTCGAAAACAAGGACAAAAGGAGGAGAGACAGAATGTCCTATACATAGTTTCATCTTTTCCTGTGAATAGACAGTTGGAAGTTAGCGCACAGTGGTGTTCAGTTCTCCTCCTTTTGTCCTTGTCATTGAGCGCTACCATATATTCTCAAATTCAACACCAACTCCTCCAACAATCAGCACTGCTCTGCAATTTGTGTTGCTGTCACCTAGGCACAAGTGAACGTCATGGGGCATGACTATTCAATCTTCTGTTTGCAGTACCACAATCATAAAACCAACAGTAACGACAAAAAATGCCTGTAAATTTTAGGGGCGAAGCTCCTTAGGGTCTAGCCTTGTCCGGCGTCCGTACTCACATCGATTGCCATCCCATCTGTCTTCAAAAAAGAAAAAATGTTTGCGCAGTCGACAGGGTTTGAACCTGTGCAGGGAGACCCCAATGGATTTCTAGTCCATCGCCTTAACCACTCGGCCACGACTGCGGTACGAGTAGGGGGCTCTGAGATGTGGTAGTAACTCAAGAGCTGGGGATGTCATGGATGAAACGTTGCATGCAGCCGCTCAACGTCTATACAGGAGAGGGCGCTGCGGTCAAATGCGTATATAATCGCGTTAAACTTTGCATGCATTGGCTCAACGTTTATAGACGAGAGGGCGCTGCGGTCAAATGCTCAAATGCATATATAACCATGTTCCATACCACACATTCTCTTTCTGACATGGATGAAAACGAACGAAAAGCTCGGCATGCTGCGGCTCAGCGTATCAGCACCACCAGAGCTTCGCCCCAATCAACATCATTCACCACGTGGAGATGCGGTCATTTTTTTTCCAGACTCCCAGTGGCATGGACTGAGCAGGCAGTGCAAGCTCTAAATGATGTGGCGCACATGATGTGCTGAACTTGTAAGAAAATATTTAATATGAAGGCTTACTCGTGGTACAGTTCTCTTGTGTTGAGAGCAATGGCCTCAAGCGTGTCTTTGAACCTGCAAAGGAGGAGGGAGTTTCACACAGTTAACCTGTGATTCTTTCGAAAATATACAAGATCAACAACTTGCTGAGAGTTAAAGAAAGGTGCTTGAGTGCTCCTTTTTTGGCAACTAATAGAAGCACAGCTACACCATCTCTCTCATTTCTTGATCAGCTCTGCATGCACATCTGATAGCAGCCAATGTGCTACCAAGCCACAGAGCCTGTGCTGAAGACAGACAAATCGAGAGAGCTAACGCTGAGCTCCTGGAGCAAGCGAAATGCTCAAGGCAGGTGTTCCTACCCACTTCTGCTTTCCAGCACCAGACAGAGGTTTTCTGTTTCTATTCAGCCCAGCGGAGCAAGACAGCAAGAGATGTTTTCAACCTACTCTTGCATTCGCATCGATATCTTTCCAATCTGGTTTTCCTCCAGGACAGCGGTGACAATCTTCTTCCCAGTCTTCAGCACTTGGTAGAAGTTTCCGTAGGTTATCTTCTGGAATGTGGGGAACCTTTCCTTGCTCATCCAGTCCAAGAAAGTGGTGTTTCTCTCTGCAGCCTCGCCTTCTGGAAGAACAACAAGTGCGCCTTGAGGAACTCGGCCAATTGTCATCACAAAAGTCTGCCTATAATATCCGATGGAAAAGGTCCAAGGTTACTGCTTCCATTAAACTATATACTAAAACCTTTTGGCTCATTTATTTACTAAGATGCAGCTACAGTATGTCCTTAATGTCAAGCGAGGGACATCATAAAATAGACAGAAATTCATCCCCCCCTTTTTTTTATCGTATTAGTGAGAATGATTATCTAAAAACATAAAAAGGTTGTTTTGCTGTGGCCATATGTAGGAAGAAACTTGTATATGATAAAATATGTAAATGTGTCAGAACATGGTAAACCACAGCTGATTCAATGAATGGACTGAATTGTCCACATGCAGTAGACTTGCATAATATACCCTATGCTCTGTAGTTTTTCACTGTAGACACTACAACTACCTTTTTCTATTTTTCTGATTCATTTGTATACTATTTTGCTCCTGTTTTATTCCTAATTCTGCTCAATGAGGTATATAATATACATTTTACTAGTAACTTAATCCAGCATATGACATGCACTTTGCTCATTGCTAATTGTATATCCATTGGCTTTAGCATATTGGCAACTCCAGCAAACTATAAGGGGCAGGCACGCTGTTCAAGTCAGGAGGTCAGTTTCATCGTTCAGCATGCGAAACACCTTGATTTCTTGCATTGCAGTATAGGATCAGTGTTACATATAAAAGCAAAGTGCTTTTTGGATGGCGTAAACCTTTTTTCTGAATAGAAGTAGTGTGTAAGAGTGACACGGTGGAAGCATAAAAACAATTGCTGAAAATTATGTTTTTTTCTTTCGCCCGCTTGATTTACGCACATGGCCGAAGCTAGACATCCGATTTATTTTTGGAGGTGGACGATAGTGGACATCCCCAATCGTCTTCGAAGGGTAACAAGCTATTGTAAAACAACTAAGTATCACGGTCCTCACAGTGCGGATAAGGGTCTGTGTTGGATTTGACCGATGCACATTGAACGCCACCCTGCAGGTTCACGTTTGAAGAAAACAATTACTGACATCAATAAGATGGTAAACTTTCATAGCCAAGGACAAGTGATTTTAACGTACAAACTACTTGTGGCCCCTGACACCAGCCTACACCCCCCTAAAAAAAGAAAAAAAGTGAAAAAAAAGTAAACGCTTTCTCAGAGACAGAAGATTGGGGCGTTACGGCTGGTTGCAATCAGGCCGCCGTGCCCCGGTTGTGTCTACAGGGAACCTTTTTTTGCGATAGCAAGTGAAAGCGTGATTGCAGCAATTGTGTCAAGAAGTCTCAAGAGCGTGAAGGCAAAATACAAACCGCTTACACTTCAGCAAGGAATGTTGGTGAAGGTGTGGAATAACGTTGTTCAGGTAAGCGTGCGTTCTGACTTCCGGCTTATGATACCGTATTTACTCGAGTAATAGGCGCACTATTTATGAACAAGGCCCTTGCTTCTAGTTTCCCGAAAAACACATATACAACCAATCATCGCGTCGCGCATAAATTACATAGCGAATAACAAGATCGAGAACACGGTTCTCCATACAAATGCGATCTTCACAGATGCTATCTTCGCGCGAAGACATTATTATCTCTGTCCTGTAAACCGCTGGAGTCATGCTGTCGATCGCGGTGATTGGCAATCTGCGTGCTCCGCGGAAAAGCGAACCCTCAGGTTTTCTTCATAAACAGTGTGGCTATTACTCGAGTAAATACGGTATTGTTAAGATGTTATTGATAGGAAACATAGTACACCGGAATTCCTATGAATGTGTTTTCATGCTAATTTAAACTGATGGTGAATGAAACTTCAAAATTGTTTGTGTAATATTCTTGTTTTTACCGACTTATTAGCACTACCAAACTTTTTCCAGTCGTAGGTGATTCACAAAAATTAGGTCTTCATGTAAATTAGTATCTCGCAGGCGTAAGAATGCCATAATAATCAAATTTGATAATGTGTGTTATGACATTCAAATTGGCTGATGTTTTAAATGTATAGGGTTCAATAATTTTCTTTGAATAACAAATAAAAAGAAACAAAGAGGTGGTTTCTAAGCATTTACCTATTTAGGTCTTTTTTTGCCGAGGTGACTTTTGCAGCAATTTTTATTTTATAAATCTACTCGAGTTTGTGGGTCGCACTAAGTTTTGTACGGGGCCATGCTTTGTATGATGGCATTGTTTTTAAACTCGCGGATGAGGGGAAACTGCACACCACTAAGATATTTTCACATCCTTGTTCATCCGTTATTTCGATGCAACACCGATAACCTTATTATTTAGTTCATCTTAATAAAGAAGTGCGCAAAGCTATGCCCCCTACAAAAACCAAGCAGCGAAAGCAGACAACAGAGGCGTAACTACCTTCTCTCCCTTCTCTCGTATGTTCTCAGCGTTGCCGCTATGCGGCGTCGATTTTGCTAGCGCCGCCAGTGACACATATCCATCACCACATTGATCAGTACTCCCCCTGTACATATATATATTTTCTTTTAACGCTAGGTCGTAATACGATGTCTTAATAAGACTTCCTGTTTGTCCTGCCCCTTATTTTATACCCTAGTCTCAAGGTTTTATTTAATTATGCTGGTAAAATTTACGTCAACTTGGATCTGTTTAAAAAGCTCATAAATTTCGAGGTCGCAATGGCAAAAAAAAAATAATAATAATAAACAGTTATTTTCCAAATAAGTTTGGTCAGAGCACAGGGTCTGTGGACCTGAGGAGAGGCCACTCCAGTTTTCTTTCAAATCTAGGATTATTGACAAACGGGGTTTATCACGTATTTCGTAAGATTTGCATAGCCAACGGCAAGGGCGCTAATGCCACATCCCGATGAAGAAATATTTTATTTATTTGAATAAATAAAATATAATTCGGTACAGGAAAGTTCTTGTGAATTTAGGGTATACGTTTGTGTCCGGATATAATTTATTTTTACTTTAAATTTTGGAAAATCGGGAACACGGGTAAATTATAAATTCTTAGTGAGCGCGTTGGTAATGATGTAGCTTTAGAAAGAGTTATATACGTAAAAATTGTCCCGTCCCCTGTTTTTACGTATATAACTCTTTCTAAAGCTACGGGTAAATTAAACTCAGAATTCCACAGAATCGAGAATCTTGCAAAAAAACAAACTCCGAACAAGCCAGAATTTAGGGCTAAAACTAAACTCTGAAAAACAATCTCCAAACTTGAAGAAATATAAACTTCAAAAACACGAAGCCTTACTCGTAACATTGTTGGAATTATTTTGAGTTCATGGTGAAAGGACGATGCCTAAGAGATGAAACAATATATGCCAACCAGAAATAGGTCAGGCCTACCCGAAAGAGGGCGCCAGTGTGTCATAAGCAGTCATAAAGCAGTCGGTCAGACTCAAATTCAAATGCTTAATGAACCAGCCTTTAGAAGACCAACTGCGCAAACTTCTAGGCAAAATTTTATGCAGACTTAAGAACCAATATGTGGTAAAAGCACTCCAGCTCACCATCATACATGAAACTTGTGCCGTCCTTGAACACATACACAGCTGGAGATGCTGGCGTGGTCATACCCGCAACCTGGCCAATGCACTTGGGTGGTGCAGAGAAGAAGTAATTGACGGGCTGAAACTCTTCGGCCATCCTCGTAAAACGGTCCTAAAAGGAGATCGAGGCAAGGTTCAAGAAGGTACGAACTCTTAGCACCATGAAGTAGTATACCCTACGCGGACAGACCAGTTTTATTAACAAGCTGGAAAGGATTAGAAAATAGCAAAGAGGCCCGTGTGTAAAAAATCACACGACTTTTCCTCTGAACTTTGCAGGCAGTTGAGTCCTTTATCTCTAGAAAAAAAGGGGAAAAATTGTGGGATTTGGAATGTCATATGAATGATCGCTAGCCACAATATTAATGTAAAAAAAAAAAGATTACTTAGCTCCTACCAATAAGTGACTAACCAAGGGTAGTCATGATAACTTTATACAGAATTCCAAGCTTACAATAATTGCTATCAATCTTCCTTTTTGCCAAAAACTATCAATGAACGAAACCACTTGCTGTAAAACACTGCTCCTTCTATCACCCTAGAGGCCTTTCCCTGCAACTTAGAGAAACACCTGTTATCGATGAATAGTCATTAAGTGTGTATAGCAAACCCCTCCCTTGCCACAGCATCTTGCACTGTCCACACAACTGTGCCACCCTCCCACAATCCCGAAGGGGGATAGTATTATTGAAAATGAGGAATAAATCAATAAGTAATACCAGCAAAAAGCACCCTGGGAACAAGAAAGAATCAACTAACAAATCCACCCACTGAAAATGCATGCTGAACGTAGTGTACTGAACCACCAAATCATGCCACTTTATATTTTATTCATAGCCTCGTGCTCACCTGAGTGCCACTAAAGTAAAGCTCTCAAAGGGACACTGACAGGGTATTTATGCTCGCCAAGGTTTTGATTTGTACACGACATATGAGAGTCCAACTACCTAGAACACAATTTGCGGCTTGAAATTCGTTTTCTTTCCACCTGAAAATTACCGCCGATCGAGAACTGGCCGGTTCGGGTCGCGCTCACTCTCTTCTTTGTGGTCACATGCCGTTTTGTATGGTTTAGACACAACCACCAAATATAATCTAAGTCGTGGGTCATCGAAGGCACACTTAATATTATAAATAGAAAAGAAATATGATACCCATTTTTTGTGGCTTCTAAAAAACTGCAAAAACGTTGATTAAAGAAAAAAAAAGGTTGCACAGCCACGCGACTTTTGCTAACTGTCTCCTCCTCTATATTTCTTCTTCCTCCCCAGTGCAAATTCGGTTTCGGTTTCGAGCAGTTGAGCCTTTTTTTACTTTATTAAAAATATATGTGACGCTGTAGCAAAATATTGATTGCATAGTCTTCTGACACGATAATAAATCGCCTGGCAAAAAATACAACAAAAATTTTGGGAGGTGTCAGTGTGCCTTTAAAGCCCCTCCATACCAATGTCAGATGAAACTGAATATTTAAAAGGAACTATTTAACTCTTTCCTTACCACAGGAAAACTGGCCATTTTAAAAAGTCCCAGTATTCTAGTTGTTTTTTTTGTTTGTTTTTTCAGGAGAAATATGCTTCTAAAATTTGTTGCAGTATATCAAAATGGAGCAAAATAAATGCTCCTTTCAATTATATAAGTGAGAAGTAGGAGTCGAATAAATTATACAAGATTTAATTTCTGCAAACCCCAACTATTGTGGCCAACACAACAAAAATGAGAAAGACATGCAGATATCTCAATAAAAACATTATAGCCAAAAAATTAAAAAATTTACAAAATATGCCTAATTTTAACAAAAGGAAGTCTGCAAATTGCAGAGATATAGATAAAAAAAACAACTTGCCCCTTTGCTCTACTACTAGCGTGACAAAGGCGGTGGGGTAACACAGAATGTGATGTGTCAGTGTGGAGAAACAGTGTACACACGTGGAGACTGGATGGCATGCAGCGGCCCTGTGTCGGGCAAGGCAAGCGCACAAGCGCTCTGTGGATGTCTTACATGGGGTTGCCATCTTCTGCGGTTGCAGTGTATGTGCGATTTTCTCAGAGCGTATTGGAGTGTGAGACGCAGAAGACGGAAGCGTGCGGAAAACAGAAGAATTGGACCGCGGCAGCGCCGAACAGAGCCCTGGCACCAGCTTGCAGCAAAAGAGAACCAAATGCTCGGACTACCTCAACCCGTCGTGGCAAAGGAGTCTGTTGTTGCTGTTTTTTCTCTGCTTTCCTGTGACTCTCGCGCTCTTTCTCTGGGGAAGCCCGGAGCGCACTCATTTCACGAAGCAGAGCGCCGCTGTATGTTGGAACACGTGATGTTTTCCTCCGCCGGGAGTAACACGAAGTCGCTCGAGGAAGAGGTTTGGCTGGCACCGGTGTCCAGTCAGTGAGGGAAGAGCGCTGTGTCAGCGTTCATCTGGCAGTCGGCCTGTCCACTTCCGTTACTGGCACCTAACCGGATATGGTTAGGTGCGAGCCATACAACCCATTTTGTGCTAAAAAAAACTTGTCAAGTTCTACCACATAGTCTTACCCATCGTGGCATGCGTGCCATTCGGTGAAGGAGGTTCTGGATATGAGAAACTGTTGGGCGAGCTCCGTTCGCAATGCCGACCGATTGAAACGCGCACTTCTGCAGAGTTCAGGAATGCTTGGGTGCAGCTCGCGGTGTGCTTGAAAATCAAAACAGCTGTTGACAGCCGAGATGTCAATGCAATGAAAGAAGAGTCTTCCACCAATGGTGCACTTCATCAGGAGGATGTCGTACGATCCGATCAACTGGTCCGATTTGTCAACTCCAAGCATTTCTGCATAGTAGTCATCGACAAGCTGTGGCCTCTTGATGGAGATCTGTGACCATGTATCTCCTTTTTTTTTCCTCTGTTTCACAAGCACGTGCTTGTAGACAGCATGTACGGTGCTCATCATGCCTACGACGTGTCGGTTTTTCCATTAAAGATATAATATATTTTGATCCCATAGACACCGAAATTCGGTGATCCAACATCATCTTTTGACTCACTCCTGCTAGTGTCATCAACAAAGTCGACCGCAGATGCACTCGAATCGCAACACTTCAGACGCTTCGGAGGAGGCGCAGTGCGTGATGAAGACACCATCTTCGCAATGCGAAGTGCTATTTCCTCGGCTGCGCATTGGATCGTGATAAATCACCATTTCGTGGGCAAAAAGAACTATGCAGAAACTGAAACTAGAGTGTATAATCTAACCACCAGATGCATTGACAACATGCACAAACCGCTCGGACTTGCATGCGAGACCAGCGTGTACCACGAGCATAGCCTCGCGGTGCGGGAATAAAAGACGACGACGAGGCAGTCGTTCCTATCTCATCCTGGCGTGCGGTTCATCATCCGTAGGCGCTCGTAATAGAACGATACATGGTGTCAGAAGTGATCTTCAGTCTCCACGCACCATGACTGATCTTCCGCCACCAGAACCGCTGCGGCTGGGAGAGCACGCTGCAGAGAATTGGAAAAAATTCAAGCAGCGGATGGAACTCTTCCTTCTGGCTACAGAGCCCAAGGAAGGTCGCAACCAGCAACAAAAAGCCGCTATCTTTCTGCACGTCGCTGGGCAAGAAGCCATTGAGGTATTTAACACGTTTGGTTTGTCAGCTGAAGAAGCCCAAGATTACGATGTCCTGGTACGGAGGTTCGAAGCCTACTGCCTTCCGAGATGCAATGAGACGTTCGAACGCTATGTGTTCCGAACGAGGCGACAAGAGGAAGGAGAAGCTTTCGAACATTTCTACCACGATATTCAGCTGAAAGCAGCGACCTGTGGATTTGGCGACCTAAAGGACTCCATGCTACGAGACCAGATCGTGTATGGAACGTCAAGCAAGAAGATTCGAGAGAAACTCCTGCGGAAAAAGGATTTGACTTTAGAAATAGCAGTTGAATGCTGCAAGGCCGAAGAAACAGCCAATGTCCACAACAAAACATGGAATGACGCGGCAGTTAAAGGGTCAAGTGAAGCAGCGGCCAAGGTGGAAATCGTTAAGACAGTCAAGCAGCAGCAGAAAGACAAGTCGAGATGTCGCTTCTGCAACCAAGCTCACGCGCCAAGGCAATGTCCAGCCTACAGAAAGACATGCTCAAAATGCAGGAAGAAAAATCATTTTGCAGTATGTTGCAAGACTAAGCAGTCTGGCGTACATGACGTTGAAGAAACCAGTGAGGCAAGCAGCGATTTTGATGTGCTTGAGATTTTGTCAACCAGCAGCGTGCATTCGGTCGGCAACCGTGACTGGACCGTGAATACTACGATAGAAGGGAAGCAGGTAGAGCTTAAAGTGGACACCGGTGCACAGGCCAATCTGCTCCCTCGAACATTGTTTATGAAGATCAAACAAAAGCAGCGGCCTCAACACACGACTGCAACTCTGCATAGCTACGGAGGTGGCATCATACAACATCTGGGAAAAGTCCGCCTGTCGGTATCTGTCGGCAGAAAACAAGGTTTCATCGATTTCTTTATAGTAAAGAAGGGCAGGCAAGCCATCATGGGCCTGAAAGCATGCGAGCACTTTGGCCTCGTCAACCGGGTCAACACTGTGGAGCACGAGAACCAGCAGCGCCAACAAGTAGAGCGCGAGTTCCCCGGTCTCTTTCGTGGTCTCGGTTGCACAAAGAGAGCCTACAAGATGGTTCTTCGCGACAACTCCACACCGGTGATCCAGCCAGCACGCCGGGTGGCGCACGCGCTACGTGCGCCTCTGAAGGCAGAGCTCGACCGAATGGAGACAGCAGGTGTCATCGCGAAGGCACCAGAACCGTCCGACTGGGTGAGCCCCTTGGTTATAGTACGAAAGAAAAACAACAACTTAAGATTATGCATGGATCCCCGTCACGTAAACAAAGCACTCAAGCGAGAGCATTTTCAGCTGCCTCGGAGAGAGGAAATTGAAGCAGACTTGGCACATGCCGCATACTTTAGCCGGCTCGACGCCAACAGCGGTTTCCATCAAATACCGTTGGATGACAGTACATCTCGAATATGCACCTTCAGCACTCCTTTTGGTCGCTACAGGTTTCTCAGACTACCCTTTGGAATCGCTTCAGCCCCCGAGGTGTTTCAGCGCACTATGAG